GAGGCTTGTTCAATTTTGAGTCCTAATTCTTGGACTACTTTATGGGCAATCATACTAATAGATGCTCCACTATCTACGATAACCTGGTAAGGTCTGTTTTTAATCTTGATATTACATTTAACAGGTGTGGTGGTTGGTTCAGGAATAATAGCCACGGTTTTAACTTGTTAATCAATTAATATATTTCTTATTTCAAAATCTTTTATTATAGAATACTGTCATCATGAATCAAAATCATACATCCATATATCAACAAGTTATTGAACGTACAAAAGGCTTATCATTTCGATCTCAAGTTTTGGCTTCTGCTATAGAAAAATGTGAAGCTCATCAATCGTCTAATGCTATAGATAGTATTGTAGAATAATAAAATGTTATGTGAAAAAAAATTTTTTTTAATACTGGTCAATAATTTTCCAACGAATATACTTTGAAATGTCATTTAGCAAAGATAAATTAGTGATATACATCATATAACATATATATTGATCATTACCGAAATCACAAACTTATCGAATATGCAAAACAGCTGTAATAATAATCTGGTAACTTACTATTAAATTTACAGTACCTAACTTACTGGGTTCTTTGGGACCTAGCATTACCAACTTAGAAAATTTTGCCAAAAAGCTTCGCTATTAGGTTATGGATTTAGAAACCAGTAATGGGCAAGTTTCTTTGTTTATTACTAATTTTGTTTTGTGAAATGGCCATGTTCTATATAGTTCATATTCTAGGTCCATCAAAGATGACTCTACCATCTCACCTGAAAATAAATAACTAAATGTATATATAATGCTATAGAAAATAATAACAATGATTGTAAATTATTCCTATATTGGTAAAATAATAATAATAATAATAAAATAAAATAAAAACACTTCAGTATAGCCTTCTTTCTTGTCTGTTAACTGATTAATCGCCTTCTTAGCCGGAAGATAGTATAGCCTAGTGGCTTTACCTAGAATTTAAAATAGGTATGCTATTAAAGATGCAAAACATTCATTTTTGATACATCCAAACATACCCTAAAACTTCTATATTTTTTACTTAACTTTTATTATAATAACATGTAATAATATTGGTTAGTTTTAGGGTATGTTTAAATGTATCAAAAAAACTAGGTACAGGTGTATCAAAATTGGAGATTTTGCATTAAAGGTATATACAAAATCGAAAATTATTTTCGTGCTCATTTTTCATGCCTTTTTATGTCCATCTCCTATTGATACATTTATTTCCATCCGGAACTTTTTTATCCCTCTCTTAATCTATTCAATATTACTGTAAATGGGCTGTATATCATGAATTAGACCCATTTATGAACCACAGGACCTTTATTAAATAAATGTAGATGTTTTCAAAACCTAGAATATTTCAAATGCTAAGTGTGTATGCACTTTATATAATTTGCCTTGCTATAATATAAATGCTGAACTGTATACTTTACTCCGAATCTATTATAGGTTTTTAATCAGTGGAATGTAACAGATCAGGTCTTGTATATGACCCTTTACAGTATAGCTGTTTTCATAAATTTGAAATCCTCATAATTGACTGAATCGATAAGTCACCGAGTCAATACGAATTCAGTCTTCGACGTTTTATTATCTTTTACAGGGCAATCTCCAAAACTCTTAGTCGGAATGCATCGGAGCTGGGCCGGCATTAAGTAATATTAGTCAACATAGTCTATAGCAAATTTATCAGCTAGGCATTTTTACTTAATGAATGGGTTGACTTTATTAGTAAAATTTTTAGTAATTTTGGGCAGGTGTTACATACGACAAAAGTCGTAACTAACTTTAGTACCAGCATTATTATAAAAATACGTAATAATTATCATTTCTACTTATTAGACTTTTGCACATAATTACACATTTTTATGCATGCTATTAAAACTTCAGTATCCATTATTACACTTTCGCATTGTTAAAACAATTACTTTATTCTTGCGTAATGATTTTCTTAGCTTAGTTGAGTCTAATGGAATAACTATAAATAGGTTATTCTTTGTAAATAAGGGTAGATTTTCCTCTGCTCAATCAGAATAAATAAGAAATACTGCTTGCTCTATTGTCGCTTGTTCGCTATTATAAATATCTAATGCTTACGACCAGCAACTGAATTGGCAGTGCAATAGTAAAGTCTCTCCCTTGTAGTAACAGCAGGATTCCGATGCAGAGTTGGAATTTTGGGACCTCCATATGAGTTTCCAAACTTAATAATCGGATATCTGAATATTATCCAGATATTCAAACTGGATCCGATCACTAATGATAATCTATACTGTGGCTGCGCTATAATACGTCACTGGCACTCGGGGCAGTGAGTTGCGGAGCTTGCAGACCGCAACCAAAGTCTGAAATGCATATGCGATTTTGCATAGGAATGGATCAGTCCTGGAAAGACCAAACAAGGATCGGTCTTTTTAACCGGTCCCCAGTTCTGAGATTAGACAATCGTTTATTTCAGTTACATGATTTAATTTTCTCTGCTAGCCAATAGGATAGTTAGAGATCGGGACCGCTTTTGGGACCGAAACCTAACCAAAAAATGTTAATGGACCAGTCTTATTAGGACCCGACTGATTCATCCCTAATTTCGCAAATGAATTTTGTGAATTTGCATATACAGTCAGACCTCTCTATAGTCATCTCCTCTATAGTTATATTTGCTTATAATCACATAAATTTTTAAATCATCTTATATAACACTTATACAATTTAACCTCTATATAAGCACAAACTCTCTAAGCAAATTCTTAAAACCAAAGGTGTGATTATAGAGAGGTTTGACTGTAGATATGTTCGAATTTGCATATAAATATGTTTATATGCACAGTTAAATTCAAATAATCCGCAAGTTAAGTTTTTTTATTTAGTTGTGGCCCGCAACTAAATTAAAATTTGAATTTCGGATATTTTTCTGGGGCTGCCCTGGATGGGCTGGAATTGTACTCTATCCTTCCTTCAGAGTAACCTTTTAACATGATATGACAAGATTGTTTCAGATGTGCCTGCATTAGGCCGTTCGAAGTTGATTCTTCGGGTAACATCACTTTCTAGGACTCCCGGG